CTTTTCCGGCGTCAGGCTTGTTGCCATATTTCGAAACACACTGTCGGCTGAGATTTCCATTCATTTCATCTTTTACCCAACGATAAACATTTTTGGGATGAACGCCGTACTTTCTAGATGCAGATTTTTGCTCATGTTCTCTGGCATGTCGGACAACCATTCTCTTATGAATATCGATGATGAATGATCGTTGTATCAGCGCACACAGCTGTGGAGTCAGTGTCAATGGCACGACTCGTCTGATCGAGCAGGTGGCTGCTCGTAAACTTTTTAACCAAGTTGAGTATGTGGTAGCTTTTGCAAAAAATGGAAATGACTTCTTCTTAGACGGTGGAGTGCCTGGATCATCTTCTGCTGGAGGTTTGGCAAAATAATTTGTGATATAATTCATTGTCGAGTGGCGATGTGCATCACAATGCGAGAAAGAGTGATTCATCAACTATATATATTTATACCGTAAAAACAAGAGTGTTTATCACAGGTATGTGCCAGACTCGAGAATCGATGCCAGGAAACCACCCCGGCAGCGGTTATCAGTGTCAGACTTGGTAAACGAGTATCTGGTGGCCAACTTTGGAGACTATAAGCCCTCGCTTTTATTGGATTCAAGAGTGATAGATTGTACATAAAATAAATAGTTAAAAAACGGGAAAAAAACTGTTTGTGTTATTTATTTTTCATGCCAAACAAATTATTATGCCAATTAGCCGCGACTCTATGGGAAAATTTCTGGGGAGGACACTGTGGCCTCATCGTTCAGTCAGGGGTTACGATTAATCCGGGATAAATGTATTTTAAACAATCTTGTTTTTAATCGTACAACCAAAATTTGTTTTGCGGACTGTACCAAAAGTTGTGTTCAAACACAACGTAATATGTTGCAATAGAAGTGCATGAAAACGGCATTTTGATTGGATGTTAATTTGACCTCCTGTCAAACGATGCACAAACTAACACATTAAGGCGCAGTCTTTTTTCATGCGATGAATTCATGAGACTGAGAGGCAAAAAAAAGAAGCGAAAATATATAGTTGTCTGTAATCTTTTCTTTTTTTTAGAGTGAGAACTATCTGTTTTCAATATTTAATGTCAACATTACATTCATACAGAATTTACAGCCTGCGCATAATATTTACATACACCTAACTCCCACACCCGGTAGGTAATTACTGAAAGACTTTGCAACATCTCCAGACACTTTCCTAGACACTCCAGTGACCGTTGTAATCGCAATAAAGTTACATACCCGCTCATGTGACGGTTAATCAAAACACTGTGGTATGCTTTTGATGTTTTGTAGGCACAAAAATCATTGCTGTGTAACACTTGGAAAAAATATATAGTGCAAACATAATATTAACACGAAATGATAAATGTAAATTCATTTGATTGGTAGTTTGTTGAAATGGCATTGTTTTGTCTCGTTCGTTTTTCTTTTGCCTTCAGATGCCATTAGCTCCTTTGGTCTACTGCGTTGTATATTCACTGAATTTTTTTTAGAAGCTATCAGAGTATTAGATAAGTTGCTTTGCATCATACCAACAATCGCACGTACATCAGAGATTGAATGAAATACGGTGCTGGTTTACACGTTTATATGACTGCCCATGTCATCATCGCTCAACCAAAACTGTGAAGTTATTTTCTGTTTGCATGGATTGGCAATTCACACTGGACGTACTAGGTCTGAAACAAAGAAAGTGCCTTTCTAAGAGAAGGTCAAACTGTCTGGAATTGACCGAGAAATTTAACGCGTGTTCTTTGTGCACTTTACAACAATTTCAGGTTTGGGTAATGCCTTAAATTACCGTACTTACATGCCTGGGCAAACGCCCACCCCCCACTTTTGACACAATAAAGGAGTTGAGGGCACACGCCCACGGGGTCTTTTTCTACACAAAAAAAAAAACTATTTTCTATTCGTTGACTGTGGTTGTATTAACAGTCGACTTTCTTGAAGACTGTCGTGATACTTATAAAACATGTTAATTGCGTAAAACAAGGGGTGAACGCAAAATAGCTGTGACAGCTTTCTGCCTTCAGGGCATCATCATAAGTCAGCAAGTCTATAAAAATATATATTAAAGCAGAAACGGTAGTTCACTTTTTTTACCTTGCCCGTACCATCAAAGATGGAAGGGAAAGGTATATTAAGGGAAAAATTTTGTCAGACGTCGTCATCGTTAATAATTGTTATTGTGTGCATGATAACTTTACTAATTCTATTCCAAACTTTATCAAACTTGGTCACCTTATTCATCAGTATAAAGTCTTCCCTGAGTTTGAACAACAGATGTCCTGTATAAAAATATCATGCAAAAATTGAGAAAATCTGATAAAATATTTTGACTTTCTACTTGACTGATCACTGGTGATACACATCAAAGGTCACTGATCTCAGTGGAAATATGCATTGTTGTATGTGTTCAATGAAGCAAATGATTTATCTTGTAATAATATCCTTTGTAATGTATCTCAGAATCCCATACTGGGTTTCAAAACCAACTCATGGAGAGATTGCACAGTCTGATACACATTTGCAAACC